GGTCTTCTTAGTTCAATTCATAAATTACAGAGGATTCCATTCAATCTGGTCGACTTCTTCTAATCAATTGAATGAATGCATTAGGTTTCTAGAGAGAGAAAGAGTAGGTTTTAGAGAGAAATTGGGTTTTTAGAGAGAGAGATTTGGTTTCTAATGAGAGAAAGAGTAGGTTTTAGAGAGAAATTGGGTTTATAGAGAGAAAGATTGAGTTTCGAGAGAGAAAGAGAGATTGAGTTTCTAGTGAAATAATGGTTTAAATTTTTTAATATATATATATATATTCCCTGAGTTTCTAGTGAAATAATGGTTTAAATTTTTAATATATATATATATATATATATATATATATATTCCCTATCAAACCTAATAAATAAGGGTGCGGTTCCAACTCATTGGTGTTGATACTTGCTATGGCAGCTCCATCTTGAGAGATTTGTGGTTGCTTTGTTGGTAGAGTGGGATTAGGAGGCTACTTTTACTGTTTTTTGAGATATGATCGGTTAGTATTTTCTGTTTTGAAAAGCACTTTCGAGTATTTCAAAACAATCACTTTGGTTTTATTGTATTTTTCTAAAATGTTTTTGTAAAGAGATTGCATGTTTTTAAAAATTAAATCTTAAATCCATCTCAAAAATATATTTATCAAAAGGCATACATTTGTACATTAGGCAGATTGGCCGCATAAAAACCGGGTCCCACCCAAATATCAATAGTTTAGTAAAGAGATTTAAGTTAAAGAAACGAGAGAGAATATTACAGACGAATTGCGAGAGACAATAATGAGAGAGAATAATTCAAACCAGTGTTTAAAAAAATGCCTCGGGAATCGCCATGGACGGATCGAATCAGTGAAAAAAATGGAAATCGTCCGGTTCTAGAGAGAACCGGATGATTCTATACAGTGACTCGCCGATTCACTGTACGGAATCGGCGAGTCAGTACAGTGAATCGGCGAGTCCCGTACGGTTATTTTTTTTTTTTTTTTTTTTTTTTTGTGTAATCCATAATATATTTTTTGTAATACTTGATCAATTTTTTTGAATCCATGATCGTAATTGTTTTTTTTTTCTGTAATCCATGATTCGTAATTTTTTTTTTTTTTTTTTAGTTTAACCCATTGATTAGAA